TATCCATCAGAGTGTGCACATGGCGGACATAGTGTTCGAGACAGTTCAGTTCAGTTACAGACCTTGTGTCTGGAGATTACAGTTTACTTATATATACCTGCAGCCATGATAATGATATTATTATTAATGTTTACTTCAGTATGAGTTTCTGCGGAGCACAGTGATTTTAGTGCTCACACTCCCACTATTATTATCTTTTTCAGGTGACAGGGTCGGTCCGGTGGAGTGAGCGGAGCTGGTGGTCGCCGGTTCAGTACATATATATACATATACTTTTGAAGACTTATGATATGTATATTATTTTCCACTTTTTTACTTCCGCTGATGTTTTCAGATTTTCAAACTAGCGTGTCATTTTCCAAACTATGATCGAGCCTTTTGGTCGGAGCTTATACAGCATTACACGCTCGTTTGATTTAAAGATAATCCGTTTTTCATAATAGTTTTAAATAAGTAAAGATAACGGATTTTTAGAAAAGAAATATTTTTCAGTAGCATCCCGAGTCATGATTTCGCAAATAAATATGTTTTATAAAAAAACATTTTGCGAAAAGCGCACTCTGACTTTAGTAAGCTAGCGGGGTGTTACAGATGATACCATTCAATACACGCAGTTCTTGGAGGAAAATGTTATCCAGTATTTGCTACGACTTATTCCAGAAAAAGAAAACCAGAATATCACGAACCCATACCTAAACTGTTCGTAAGGACACAAATTGTAAGGTACATAACAATTTCATGTAAAAAGTTAGGGTTTTTTGGTGTACCGTCGGCCTCTTCACTCGCCGTCGTCCACCTTCAGAACACCCACATGTTAAAAATTTTACACGAAACCATGTTAAAAATCTCAATCTATAACAAAATCTATCGCAACCTTATCAAACTAATTCATAATCGAAGCCCAGTGCAAAACACAAATTCTCAGGTACATAACAATCTAATGTTAAAAATTAGAGTTTTTGGGGGGTACCGTCGGCCTCTCCTCTCTTGGTCGTTATCTTCAATCGCCGTCGTCCACCTTCAGAATACGCAACCGTGTTACCGGAGAAAAGTCGTCATCTTTAGTCTTCAATCGCCGTCGTCGCAATGTCGCGCTCGTAACTTACTGTCGACCTCGGCTTCCACTCCAAATTAGGTTTCGGTTCTTTTTGAAAAGAGGGCAAAATTAGAGCAAATGAAAAATAGTCTGCACATTTTCTCTCTTTTATGTTGCAGGGGCACATTTGTCATTTTGAATATCATCTTTTCACCTACTCCAACAAAGTAAACGACAGATTAGTTTCGAAAAGATGTATCAGACATAGTAAACGATGGAAAAAAAACTGACGTGTAAAGTGACTCAGATTATTTAGTGTAATCCTGTCCCTCAAAGTAAACGACCCCTTATAGTCCAATTTTTATTTTTTTTAGTCCAATTTTAATACTGTGTTTTAGCTTTAATTTATTTTCTGGTTTAATTTTTTAGTTTTTATTTATTTTGGTTAATTTTTTAGTTTTAGATTTTGGTTTTAATTAGGAGATTTTTTTTCTTTTGGAAATAATTGGGTTTTCAGATTTTTAATGGAAATATAATTAAATAAAAATGACATAGGATTTATTAGGTGTTATTTTAACTTTTTAATTTATTTTTTATTTTTTTTATCTAGTTGTATGATGTATGTGCCCTGTGGTAGTGAGAGTGACACATCACACTGGAAAGGATGAAAATGAACTGATTAGACACCACGTCATGTTTTTATTTTGGAGGCGGATAAAAAAAAAGACAAAAATTGATTAAATTGACAAATTATTGAACCCAAATTGAAAGTGATCAATGATGGGGTGAATTTTTTTACAGTGGCCAAATTAGAAAACCAATTTTGAAATTATTATTATTATTATTATTATTATATTATTATTATTATTAATAATAGTAGTAGTAGTAGTATTATTGTTATTATTGTTTTAAGAGTCTTATTTAAAGGGTTGGTGTGCTTTGTTATTAGGGGAGTTGATAGTTGAATATAAAATAAGATATTGTTGGGTTTGCGTGTTTTACGAGAGAGTATCTCGTTTACTTGTTTTATCCTTCCCATTCATACGCTTCCCCTACATCAGTTGGTATTAGAAGTCAGCACGATTCACGATCCTGTCGCGAAGACAAGATGCTGCAAACGACAGGCGTGTCGCCGCCATCTACAACCTGAGCCGCCAGACAGAGTGGTTTGGCCGCCAGCTCGATACTATGGGTCGTCAGATTGCAGATCTGTCTGCGGAGATCGGGAAACATACGTCTAACTATCAGTACCATGGTTCGGGACAACAAACATACCGTGACGCCGACAACCGGGGCGTGTGCGGGGGAATTCGCGGAGGACGTGGAGGTCGTGGTCTAGGCGGGGCGCCCCGCTGGAGATCTCCACAACCACCGTCCGGCGACGAAGACGGCGAGGAGACAGTCTCGGAGGTGAATTCCTTCGACGATTTTCCACCCCCACACGTCGAGGCTGACCCCTTAGCTGCATACGGCGGCCGTGACATGCGGCGACGGGTCCCGGTCTTTGTGGACGGAGATGATCAACGCGACGACAGAGGCAAGCGCGAGGAAGCTTCCATCGTCAGCGGATATCGTGCCTGACGCGATTGGGAATATGATCGTAATTATGGTCGATGGGAGGGCCCGTTTCGTGTAGACATCCCCGAATTCGACGAAGAGCAAGTTGACGGGCCATTTTATGATGGTCCGCCTATGTTTGATGAAGGACCCGATGAGGTGGAGAAGCGTTTTACCGGCGAAGTGGACCGTCTCTACGACGGTCTGCCGATTTTCGTGAGGAGCCTCTGGGGCTAGAGGAATTCCATCATGTTCAGGGTATTAAGATTCAGTTGTTGAAAGAATTGGTAGTTCTTCTATTGCGCAGGCCCGAGCTTTTCTCCCACGGAAATTTGTTGCAACATTGCAAACAGATGTTTTTTTTGTCCCCATGGTGACTTCAATATTCTTTGTGTGTATGTTGCATATCTGTTTTTCCATGAATTTCAAGGGGGTTATACCATGGAAGTGAGGCATTCAACATTCGTGTTCGATCGGGGGAAACGCCCGGGCTATTTCTTCCATGGGGATGTCTCCAACGGGAACGTGTCGGATTCGAGGGTGAATCCTGCTCAATCGGGGGAGAATGATGCAGAATTATTATTATTATTATTATTATTATTATTATTATTATTATTATTATTATTATTATTATTATTATTATTATTATTATTATTATTATTATTATTAGTTAGCTTGGAGAATAAGATAGAGTTTAGTTTAAGAGTCTTATTTAAAGGGTTGTTGTGCTTTGTAATTAGGGGAGTTGATAGTTGAATATGAAATAAGATATTGTTGAGGAATGATTCTGTGGTTATTATTAATGTTTAGATATGTATTTTTATTATTGTAGGATATACAGATAATTCGTGGTTAAAACATACTAACATAATTATTCCGTGACGGACTGTAGTCATTTCAGTTACTTTACTTTTTTTTCTAATAAAAAAGAAAAAAAAGGAAAAAAAAAACTTACGAGCACTACAGAATCACGTGCGGCTAGGGCAAGAATGTCGGCACAGGATACGACGCCAGGGCAGACAACCTCGATTTTCTCCTTTGCTTCGTTAATGACTTCGAATTCCCTGAGACTTTGGTTTGGGATGGCCGTCTTCTCAGAGGTGGGGCCGTCGAGAAGGATGGAGGCGTCGCAGCCTCGGACAAAGCAATCGTGGAAGAACATTCTAAGGATGGGTGCCATGATTGTCTTGTCTTTAGTGAAATGTTCGGCTAAGACTGACGTCACTATGGACTCAGCGTTGAGGCACGTTTTAAAGTAGAATCCGACCTTCAACTGCCAATGGGACACGGCGGCTAGGCTCCCAAGAGCAATCAAGCTTTTAACAAAGTCTTAATCTTTTTTTTTAAGTAGACATGCTCTTATTGACAAATATGTGCATTTGAGTAGACTGTACATCTATGAAACCCAAATGTACATTTCTGCTATTTGATGCATCCGTGTTGCTGGTGGACGTGGACCTTTAACACAAGCCTTCTAACTTAAATGATCAAGCTTTTAACAAAGTCTTAA